TGTGTGTGTGTGTCTGTGTGTGTGTGTGTGAGCCGTGTGTGAGCCGTGTGTGTGTGGTGGGGAGGGGCGTGCTCTGACGCGCTCAGGACTGACCCTGAGGACGGAATATGGCATCAAGGCCTGGACCTGGGGGCGGTGGCCGGGAAGCGGCCTGCTGGGGGCAGAGGGCCGCACCCCCGGGAGGGAGGGAGAGACCGGAGTCCCCGCGGGCCGGGCGGGCTGGGCTCCAGGGCAGAGCAGGCCTCCAGGCGAGCCGGGGTGGGCGGTGTGCGGCGGGGAGGGCCTGCGCCTCCTCAGGTGCTGACGCGTGAAGGAGGAAGGAGCTGGGGCTGCAGACCCCCCGGCCTCCCTGTCTCAGGCCGCAGAAGGACAGCATCGTGATCGTGACTCGGGGACAGACAACGGGAGACTGTATGCCCGTCTGTCCCAGCGGCCTCTCCCCAGAAAGCAGAAAGTGAAAGTGTCAGCCGCCCAGTTGTGTCTGACTCTGTGAGCCCTCGGACTGTAGCCCGCCAGGCTCCTCTATCCACGAAACCCTCTAAGCGAGAACACTGGAGTGCGCTGCTATTCCCTTCTCCAGGGGGTCTCCCTGACCCGTGGATCAAACCCGGGTCTCCCGCATTGCAGGCAGATTCTTTACCGGCCGAGCCAGCGGGGAAGCCCTCAGCGGGCCAGCATCTCTCCGTCTTCAGGAAGGCCGAGAATGGCTTCCTGCCACAAGCGATGAACGCCTGTCTCCTGCCTCCAAGGGATGAGGCGCTCAGAGGCCCAGAGACCTCGCCAGCTCCTCTCTGCGGGCTGCGCCACACCGTGGCCCCCCACCTGCTACCTCTGCTGGGAATACCAGGCTTTCAGGCTCCTGACTCGTCCTCCAAGGCTGCAGATTCAATGCCCCCCATCTGCCCCCGACCCCGGCCCGCCTCTATTGCATCACGGGTAGTTGCCCGGTTCCCCTCCACACTGGAAACTTCCTGAGGGCAAGGGTTGTGTTCTGTTCTCTGTATCCACCAGGCCTGAGGACTCGACAAATGTTTGCTGAACAAATTAATTTGTTTTCACTTAACAAGCTCATTAGGGCTCTAGCTTCCTCCTAATGATGAAGCAGGAAGTTTCCTTTTTTTCCTTAACGATCCATCTTTGGGGAATGATGGCAGAACTTCAACTTCTGCAAGAAGAAGGCAATCAAACTAGACCCCGGGCACACGTTTGCATTTGAAAGAAAGAAAACATGCAGGCTCAGTGAGGTACAGTTTAAACAAAACACGTGTATATTAAAAGCTTCACATTAAAAATAATTATCATACAGTTCATCACACAGAATTAGATCTTTACAGGACACTTTCAGCAGGAGGCGGTGGTCACAAGGCTCCTGGCAGTGACACAACAGCCCCGAGGAGAAGGGGAGAGGCTGGGGGCTGTCCGTGCCCAGGGGGTGCCTGAGTGGGTCTCTGTGGGGTTCTGGAAGGTGCTCCTGCATCTGGGCTCTGGGTTGTGCTGGTTCCACTGGACAACTTGCCCCATTTGTCTCTGCCGGCAATCGCTGGTGGAAGGTAAAAGGACAGACGTGGCAGCTTGCTGGATGACCATCTGAGCCCGCCAGGACATTTCACGGGCATCGATGGGCCCACTCCAGACGCCAGCCTGCCCTGTCTGCCCGTTTCTGCAGGCGCTGTCCTTGGGTCTGTGAGAACATAGGGTAAGCCTGGCCGTCTGCCCCTGCTGGGCCCTTGATCAACGACATCAGCCGCTTCCCTGAGCGTGTACTGGAGAGCTGTCAGAGCTCAGCGCTCTGACTCTTCAGAAAGGCAAGCTCCGGGGCCCGTGACTGCAGAAGCAACCATCTACCGAGGGCCCCACCTGTTGGTTCCCAGGCCCCTGCTGGAAGCTACATCAAGATGGCCCTCTGCCTGCCCACCAGAGCCGCTCTGGGAGCGGAGGCACAGCTCAGCTGGGACTGGCCCCGCCTTCTGAAGAGGGCCCTTTCCACCTCCTTCTTTAGAAGGGCTGCTCTGTGAGCCCGTCTCCTGACGGCAGGTGGGCCCTCTCTCCCCACAAAGCCTCCTTTCTTCCTGGGTCGCCATCTTGTTCTGGAGGGGCTGCCCAAATGGCCTTGACTCCTCGGTGCTCAAGGACATTACTGCTGAAGTGGCTGGGGCGTTATGGTCAATAATGAAGCCAGCAATGGAGGGAAAGAAAAGGGGAAAAAAAAACCCAACAGTCCTGTGGCTCTGAGCAACACAGCCTGTTGGGGGTTGGAGGCTGTGCTCTGAGACAAGATGCTGAGGCGGGATATTGTGTGGCAGGGAGCTTTTTTTTTCCCCCTCTAAGAAATCCAGCTCATTTTCCCCCTCATTAATTGGCAGCAGATGAAAAAAAAAAAAAAAGCCAAAACAAAACCCAAACCAACGCCAATAACCTGAATGTGAGTGTTTCTGAAAGGGAAAAGCTGTTTCAATTGTTAGATGTCCAAGAAAACATGAATACACGCTGCCAGAGGAAATGGTCACAATTAGAGGAAGAAGAGGGAGAGGTTCATAAAATTAAGGAAAAAAATTCCTTTTAGCGGCTCCCATCCTGTAAGCTGGCTCCTCTGCCGACCTCAGCCTCCAAGGGGAGCTGGAGGTTGGGGCTCCCAGGGAAACTTCAGGAAGATGGAGGCAGGGCCCAGGAATCCCTTAAAAGAGTAAAGGCAAGAACAGAGGGTGAAGCATTCTTGTTTTCCCTCAGACCATGGGGCGGAGCCTTTTCTGAGGAGAAGTCTGTTCTGAATTCTGTTCATTGAGGATGGTCCTGGGCTCCTGCACTGCCTGACCTGTGGTTCTTAGGAAGGGCCCTGGAGAAATCTGGATTTGCTGGTGAAGGAGGGGCAACTGTGAGGTTCATCTCAACGCCCTGTTCCGCAGGCTACCTCCCCCCGTCTTCTATCTCTAACTGGGTCCTGGGGATCCACTCTCCTTTGGCACCTCTGTTTGGACAAGTGCCAACACTTCACTCATTTTTCTCACTCACTAGGGAAAAAAAAAAGAGGAAAACATGACATTAGTTAGGTACTGTAGCCTCAAAGGATGTTTTTGAAACAGCAAAGGAAAGGTCAGGTTTGAGGTGCTGGAAACTAGGCCCAGGTCACAGGCAATGAGGCAACCATGAGGTGGATGGGCCTGTGGGATTCATGGATGGGAGGGGCTGGGGCTGCCTGGACTGAGACAAGGACTCGGGAGACTGACCTGATTGGTTGAACTGGGCAGGAAGCAGATGCTGAGGAAACAGCTTTGGCCATAGCCTGCTAAAATCCACCAGACACCTAGAGACACGGCTTCTAGTCCTGCTTTGCACTGGCTTAACGGGCGGCCAGGGCAAGCCCTCTCCTCTCATGAGGCCTCCATCTCCCATCTGGACAGTGAGTCGGGAGCATCTCGAAGGCCTGGCAGTGCTGGTGATGGTCAGACTGGACTCAGCCCCCTCCTACTGGGGATGATGGTGACCAGACTTCCATTCCTCTTAGCCCGCTGGCAGGCAGGATGACATGTGCTTGGTGAAGGTGCTGAAACTCGTGATGCACCTGGACCCCTCGCACCTCCTTCAGTAGGTGAAAGCCATGCCTTTCATGCTATTCCATGAGATTCTTTTGTTTCTTCCATTGCACTTAATTGTGGTATGGTGGTGGGTGGGTCGGAGGAAAAGGAAAGGTAGCAACCTCGCTGAGCGTCTGCTCTGTATGAGATGGATCTGCCTCCTGTGAAGGGCAGCGGCAAGATGGGGTGGAGTGTGGGTGTGTGTGTGCAGATGCTCCTATCTGCGAGGAGGCAGTGCAGATGGCCAAGAGGACTCCGTGTCCCCCGAGAGGTCGGGATTTGCTTTCCTCCAGGAGCAGGGTGACAGCCAGAGACAAAGAACCGGCTCAAGAGTCTCCTCTGCGTGTGGACTGGGTGAACTCGGACAAATCACCTTCCTTCTCTGAGCCTCCCTTTCCCCACATGTGAAGTGCCTCATGGGGTAGCACTGACCCCAGTTAATGGGGAGAGCGCGTTATGGACTGCTGGGTGCTATGCGCCTGTGGGGTTAACACAGACTCGCCATCACGGGGTGGTGGTATGCAGAAGAGGGAGCGTGGATGCTGGATCAACATTGAAGGCTACCACTGCTGGAGCCTGAATGTCCCTTCCTGTAGGCTGAGTCTCAAGGAGGCAAAGAAAACCCCTCTGCCCTGAGCTGGGGGCTCTGCCTCCTTCCCACGTGCCCAGAGGAGCTGCACCTTGCTCTGGGAACGAAACTCACAGGTAATCACTTGACCCCCATCAGAGACCCACTGCAGTATATTAAAAAAAAAAAAAGGGATAAGAATATATATTAAACCACTATTTTATTTACACGCCCTATTCATAAATAATTGAATCCTTTTTTGACTGCACAACGACCCCTTGGAGATCTCCTAATGGTTACACTGAGTGACTGGAAGTGGATTAGTGGGCTTACATCTGTGTGTGGTCGTGTTCTTCCACCAATGTGCTCACGTGCACGCACGCGCACACACACACACACACACACACACACACACACCAGAAGGGAGGCGGGACTCTGGGGCCTTCTGGGCTCTCAAAACACCAGCACTTGGCTCCCAGCGCCAGGGGGGCCCCGGTGGGAAGCACTGCGCCCGGGACACAGGTGTGAATTCCTGACGGCTGGAGAACAAAGCGCCGCGACCCGGGAGCTGCCGCCCCCGCCCCTCGGAGCTGCTCTCCTTTGTTCATCCGGGAAGGCATCTCTTTGGGTTTGCAAATATTTTAATTCACAGAAACTCGAGGAGGGGGTGGGGTGGGGCTGGGGCGGCGCGCTGGCTGTCCTCAGTCTCTCCGGGCCTCCTCCAGCCCCCGCGAGGGGCGGCAGCATTCTAAGACATGCAGTGGCGCGCTAGTACCATACACACGACGCGAACTGGACACGCCGGCGGCGGCGGCGGGGCGCCGGCTCCTCCGTCCGGGCCCGGCGGGGCGGGGCGGGGCTCACAGGGTCCGCACCGCCACGGGGTAGAGCAGGGACAGGTGCTCGGCGCCTTTGATGGGCAGCTTCCTGGTGGTGTAGTAGTGGATGACCTCCGGGACACTGTCGAACGGGGGGCTGTTCTGGCCCAGGACGTATTTCTCTTTGGTTTTGGCCAGTTTCATGTGCATGAAGCCCTGGTTGCTCCTGTGAACAAAGCGCAGAGGTCGGTTAGGATCCGCAGAACGAGGGAGGCAGAAGCCGCCACGCTGCCCGGGAGGAGGGAGGCGGTGGGAGGGCCGAGGGCCCCTCAGGAAAGCAGTTCCCAGGGAGCCTCTGGCTTCTCTCTGAACCAGCTTGTCACGAACTCACACTCGTTACCCGGGAGAGCTCTCCCTCTGGCCGCCCTCCTGTGGAGGCGCGGAAGACTCCTTGCTGCCTGGGACAAGCAAGAAACAGCCCTGAGCTGCCCCTCTCCCAGCCACGGGTGGGGCCCAGGCCCAGCTGAAACGGGGCCTCACCCGAGAGCCCCTCAATCCTAGCAGCAGACTCGGCTGCAGGAGAGTCGTCAAAACTCAGGAGACTTGAGGGACTTCCTCAGAAAAACACGCGACCCCCCAAACGTGGCTCCCCTCCCTATCACTGATGCAGAGGAGAATTTAAGCCTGGCCTGGCAGGCACCATGCTTACATCCCCAGCGCCCTGACAAGTGGGCAGGGCAGGGGTTACACCTCCAGTTTACCGAAGAGGAAACAGTGTGGCAGGATGACAGGTGAATTGTTTCCAAAAAGCTGATGCTGTCCCTTCAACAATATGGAACTGTCAGCAGGAAGGGGCTGCCCAGCCCGAGACTACATTTCCCAGCCTCCCTTGCACCCACTGTTGTCACGTGACTAGTTGTAGCCAATGGAATGTGGGGAGACCGTGTCCTCCCCAGCTTTGCCCCAACACAGGCAGCCTTCTCTGCGTGCTTCCTCTTTCTGCTCAGTAAACCCTGCCTGCCTCCTCCAGGGCCCAGCCTGAGTGTCTCCTCTGCCAGGAAGTCTTCCAGGTTCCCACTGGCAGAGCTCCTTCCTTCCTCCAACGGCACCAGGGGTGTAATGCCTCCATCAGCACTTGCCCTCCTCAACTGTGATCACTTATCCATCTTCTCGATTCCCCTGGGAGCTCCGGAGCAGGGTGCAGGCTCTGCGCCCACCACGCTTGGCATCTGCTGAGACGGGCAGTGGGTGGGTTCCTTGGAGACAAAGCAGAGCCCTGAGCCCGTGACATGGTGCTGGGTGGGGCGCCACTTCCGCCTGGCCCGCGTGGACCTCCCCACGTCCCACTGAGGACTCTGACCACATCGGTCACTGACCCCCAGCCAACCCACCTTTGCTCAGGCTGCCCGTCCCCTGCTCACTCAGCTCCAAGCCTGGCCTGGCCGCCACACCTGTGGATGCTTGGTTTCCAAAACACCGTCCAGATTTACTGTGTCAGTGAGAAAGCTGGGGCTCTGACCTCCAGCGCCTTCTCCAGAGCCTATCTTTTGCGAGCAGCCCTAGGGGCCAGCTTCCAGACCAAGCCCATCCCAGGCGAGGCCCAGAGCACCGCGTGGACGCGGGCGTGCAGCCTGCAGCCCTCCTGAGCTTTGGTTCTTGTTTCAGCTGCTCCCGCATCTCTTCCATCCAGGACTGGGTTCTCCTCCCTTACCGGTGCCCGCTCTATTAATGCATCAATTTGGACTCCAGGACCATTTTCAAATGGGCAGAGCAAATGCTTAATGAAGTGCAGGCACTGAGTAATACATCTGCTCATAATAATGTATTTAGAGATGTCACCCTCAGCTTAAAGGAAATCGTTCAGAGAGCAATTATGTTTCAAGAGAGAATAATTCCTGTAAAGAACTGAAATTTAAATCAAGATTTTTTAAGGCTGACAATGTTCTAATTACAGAGCCTGTGGCAAGCCCTGCTCCTCAGTGAAGGGTCATTTCACTGGAGAATTGCCTCATCTGAGAAGCAGGAGGCGCACTTGCTTAAGCCGGTGCACACATTCAAATACGAGCAACTCCCTCTGAGCCCAAGACTCAGCTACCTGCTACCCACCTCCGTGGAGAGATGGCAAATCTGTGCTGGCCTAGAAGAGTCTGTAACTGCTTGAATGCAGGGCTGAAATTGTATGCCTAATAGAACCGGGGACAGTTACGAAGCCTTGCGGCCTTGGAGGCCATGTGCTCAGTTTTACCTGCAGAAGGGGTGGGTGGGTATGGGGACAACAGGGCTGGAGCGGAGGTGAGTGACCTGGGTGGGTGGGTGTGGCCTCGGACATGTCATGCCCTCTGCTTGGGTGATATTTTGGGCTCTACAGCTGGTGATGCAAAGCACAGGATGTGTTAGGTCTCAACAACTAGCTGTGAGCTGGCCTGAACACCAAAGCTTTCATGGCATTGCAGGTATGAAGTCGCTAGGGGAACCAATTTAGTATCTAAGGAGGTTAAAGAAAATAACTCATGTGGGTTAATAGGATATTTTCACACCAGTTGTTCTGAAAACATTCAGTGAGGGAAGTGGGCAGGGATGCTGACAACAGGACAGAGCCAGAGAAGCAAGCTGAAGCTCCTCGGTGCCCAGATCAAAGGCTCTCGAGGTCACCACGTACTTGGAACTCCACACCAATGTCTCCATCTCAACACTCGTGGGCAGGCACTGGGACCTCCCCGCACCTTCCTGACTCTCCAGGCCCACTGGATTTTCCTCTGATGCTGGTATTTCAGTACATACCAGTTTATAACCCTGAGCTGGGCTATGCTGAGGGGGCAGGCGGTCACCAAGTTCAGAGCTCAAGGCAGAGAACTCAGGCCTGTGGCTGTCCCCGGCAGAGGGAGAAAGGCCCACGAGCTGGCCCTCAGGCTGCAGTCCCTGCAGGAACGGCCCTCCCCCTTAGGCTCATGCACTGCACTCTCTGGTTCTCTGCACCTCAGGCTCTCCTTGGGCCCTACTGGGCTCTGTCTCTACCCACACTGAACCCGGGAAGGCTAACTGCATGGCCTCTGAGAGTGCTTCTAGGTCTAAGGTCCTAGATTCCATGTCTATGAGCATAGTCTGCTGCCCATGAGGTGAGGGCTTCCTGCAGGAAGGGATCAAGTCAGCCTCATGCCCCCTCCACTGCTGCCCTTGGCCTCCAGTCCTGCTCTCACAGGGTGTTGGCCTGGATGGCTCTCAGGGCTGATGTATCCTGGGCACCTCCTGTGAGCCAGGCCATGTGCCCAGCACTGAAGCTCAGGATGGGAGGTAGCTGACTGGGGGTCACGCAGCCATCAGCTGCTGCTGCTTCCCTCCCTGGGAGCCTTTCCCAGAACCCATGCTCCTGACCTCAGCACCGTGAGCTAAGGAGAGGGCCCAACCTAGCCCCCAACACTCCCCATGAGGCCAGCCGGGGGCAGGGGGGCGGGTGAGAGGCATCAGACCCTGAGCAGGTGACTTCTTGACTGTCAGCTTCAGTTCCCATGGCACCCACCCCGCCGGTAACAGTGGCTCAGAGCAGCATAAGGGCTGGCAGTGAATGGCCGTCCCGCGGACCAGGGATGCTGCGTCCCGACCGGTGGAGTCCCCAGCCACGGAGGGACCGTCACACAGAGTTGGTGGGCTCGAGAGGTGAGCGGGGCCTTCTTTCTGATACAATCTGTCAAACCCCGACTTAATGCAAACGTTGGGCAGAGCCTTGTCAACAGACACCCAGGAGGTGTGCTGCAGTGATATATCCTGATCGGTCACAAGGTCCCCACGAGTGAGATGCCACCTAACGACAGCTGAAGATTTAAAAACAGCTGCCGGGGATGATTTTAATAACTGCCAACTCAGAGGAGGAAATCCAGCACAAGATTAAAATTCTCAGGGAGAAGGGAGGGTACGTCAGCTACTCAGCATGCACAGGGGTATGTGGGGCTTTAGCAGCAAGTAGTAGCCTGGGGACCATGCCTCCAGGGCCAGGTTCCTGGCCCGGCCACCTCCCCATCATGGCTTCTGAGAAGGCATGGGTCCCTGGGGAGCTCAGACAGGCTGCCACCTCCTGCCAAGCTCCTGCATCAGCCCTGTCTCCTTTGATAGGACATCCTGAGAGAGCTAAGTCACAATTAGGGGTGTCTCCAGCGGGTGACCTGTCTAATGAGTCTTGTAAGGCTGGTGGAGGCTGGGGATGCTGGGGCTGTCAGGGCGTTCAGATCGCTCATTACCATCACAAAAAGCACCTCCTTGTATAACCGGGATTATCAAACGTGCCTGGCGCGTCAGGCCTAATAACAGGCCCCACCTCGTCTCATAATCACGGGCTTTAATAAAACATCACTCAGCCCACAGCTGCCGGCCCGAGCAGGGTGCGAGGCCTCACCTCACGCTTTTAGACCTAATTGCTTGATGCATATTTCATGAAGAATCTTGGGTAATAGTTATGTTAAATCGCTTCTTTTCATGATGAAATGACTTAAAAAATACTTGATATAATATTTATGTGGGAGAAGTCGAGGAAATTGTCCTTTGGGATTCGTGTGTAGGACCTGGTTATAGGAGTCCATGCTCAGAGGTGTGATCTCAGGTTTACCTCTTTTGAAAGGTGGCTGGGGAGCTGCTCTCTTCACGGAGATGCCCCAGCACACTGTCCCTCAGCTCGAGACCACCCAGGGGTGTCCTTGGGACCCTGCGGAATAAAGGCTCAGCCGGACCGTGCACCGAGCTGCTACCACATGCTATCTCATTTAGGCCTGTGGCAAGGCTGACACGTTGCTTGTGTAACTACCGGTGTTGACAGATGGGGAAACCGAGGCTGAAGCAGGCTGTGTGCCTCCATGGGCACCTCAGGGCCCACACGACAGGTACTTCCTGCGGCAATGCTGCCTCTGCGAGCAGATGGCTCTGGTTCAGCACATCTGCTCTCTGACCTCCAGGGAGATGTCTACAGAGAAGACGCTTTTCCTGCTCATCACACCTGTGAGCAAGCCTCTCCAGAAACATTTGTGTCTGCAGAGAAGCATGCTCCAAGGAGAGCCCTGGGGCTGCTGTGGAAGAAACCACCCAGACCTCCAATGATGGGAGCCTTCGGGGGAAGGGCACTGGGGTGACATCTCCTGAGGACGTTCCGCCTGCAGGCTGGCCCTGCACAAGCTACGAACTTCCCGCTTGGGGCCTGGGAGCCTGGCAGAACAAACATGCGCCACGTGATCACCACTGCTG